CAGTACCATGCTGTTTTTGTTACTATTGCTCTGTAGTATAGTTTGAAGTCTGATATCACTATACCACCTGATTCACACTTCCTGCTTAGAATTGCTTTTGCTATTCTGGGTCTTTTATTTTTCCATATGAATTTCATGATTGCTTTATGTATTTCTACAAGAAATGCCGTTGGGATTTTGATTGGCATTGCGTTAACCTATAGAGAACTTTTGGTAAGAAGTCAGATATTTTAAATATGCATTTGTACATCTGCCTTGCCAAATGGAAGGGAGTGATATAGCATTAGGTTTTTATGAGTAATAATGATAATTTGTTATTACAATAATATAAATTAATTTATATGCAATATATTTTAACCAAATTTTTACAATAATCATCTCAAACTACAAAAGTTAGGTTTAAAATAATTGAAAAATTTAGCAATTTCTTTAATGAGAACAATGAGAAATGACTCATCTTTCTACTTTGGTACCTTTATTCTTGGCTTTGGAGTTATAGAAATACTTTCTTCTTATGCCAAGCAATGTGTATTAAATACTTATCCCATGCAAACATGAATCTGGGCACAGATTGCCATTTGCATATATATATATATATATATATATATATATATATATATATATATATGCTTTCTCTGCCACTTCGTTGGCTTTATTTAGAGCAAGGTATTTCCTTGTACTCCAAGGAAATTGTGAGTTTATTCCATTGATACTTAGTAACCTCACCTCCCAGCACCCTATTTGATAAATAGATAGGATGAACTTGAAAGCCAGGGTATTTGCTTTCTCCCTTTAATTTTTCATGCTGAGACTGTGGAGCTCAGGTTAACTTAACTCTTCCATTCAGCCTGGACTTAGCTTTTTTGCTCAATTAAAAAAAAAAAAAACAGTTGAAATTTACAACAAAATTGTTTGTTTGTGTGTGTGTGTGTGTGTGTGTTGTCATCATTTCCAAAGAAATATCAAATTCTCTGTGAGTTAGTTTAACTACACAAGGTTAGAAGTGTTTTAAAAAAATTTAGTTTCCTTGGCACTCATGAGCTGTAGGTGTTAGGCTGAGAGACTTTTGCAAAGATAATAGATCATATGAGGATTTTGAATCTTTTGAATTATATTTCTCAAAATAAGAGTTTTGGAAGAGTTGGGAGAAGAGAATAAGAATATCCTATAATGTTCTGTGATTTTCTCTTTTGTTATAAGCCATTTGAATGTAGTTCGTAATTTATCAACTTTCAGAAGTTACTCAAATCAAAGTTTGCTGAAAAAACTGTGTGAAAACTGAAACATGATTTATAATCTTCGTTATTTTGTGCCACTTTAGGAGCAATGCAAATATACAAAATTCGGAGACCTGTGTGTTATTGGAAAACAAAGCTGTTAACCTGCTCAAAAGCTATTTCATAGCAGGATTTTTGAAAAGTCTAATAAAAAGTCTGAAAGCATGACAAATTTATAGTTTTCTCAGTAGCTTAACAAAGACAAGAAGACTGCAGTTTGTCTTTATTCCACCTTTTCATATCACCACCCTCAACTTGATTTGCTCTAAGCTCTGATTCCTCATTGTTTCATGATGGTTGCTGGAGATGTGTAAGAGGTATCCTCATCCAAATGTGTGGAGAGGAGAAAAGGGAAGTACATGTCTTTCAAGGTTATTATTTTCATAAAGAAGATGAATTTTAGAGAGATCTCCATAAACTTGATCTATGCAAAATAAAACCTTAACATTTTCAGATTCTGTTGTGAAATATGTTTCTTTTAGGTATAAAATGAAAGGAAGGGAATTTTTGATTAGGAGGCAATGCACAGCTTCTGCAGGAAGCAACCTACTAGCTTCTGCTGTAATGAGCATTACACATCCACTTATCATGAGGACAGCAAACTTATCTGATTTGCTTAATGCAATATCAATTAGTTTATTAACTACTGAATAAACATATATTAAATAATAAACAAGTCAGGGAATTAGATAACAGAAACTCATGTATGTGGCACTAAGCAGTAGGTTCCCACAGAAATTCACTCATGTACCTTTGAAAATGAGTCTACAAATTTTCTTTGATGATACTTTGCTGATATCTGAGATGATAACTTGAAGATTCTATTTCAAGTGATTTCCCCATAGATTCTGTTGAATTTTGGATTGAATTGATGTTTTTTGATAAATGCAGAGACTGAAGGAGCAGCACTTGCTGATGGAGCTTAGAAATTCAATGCTAAAAACAATGGTATGTACTGACAATTCCAAGGCACCATGATAAATAAATTCAGTGTCCTTATTAAAGCCTGGAAACTGTCTTTGGCTTTGGGAAGTCAGCCAACTACAGAAAGTACTCTCCACTGAAGAAGGAGGCAACAACTCACTCATTGCTAGTACTTAAGTTACCTTTAATCCTTCATCATAACATTTGCAGCTGACATTTCTATAATATTTATGCTCTGTTTCTCCATTTTCTGGTCCATATATATACATATATACTATTAGATATTAAATATTATAGATATTTA